CGTGTAGGCCAGGATTTTGTTGTTTTCAATCCGCGAGGGTCTACATTTCGTCCAGCCAACATCTGAACACGACTACGTGCAGCCAAAAAATACTGTGTTTACATGGACTTTGCCACAAGGACGATGCAGTTTGCACGCACCGAATACGTAGATGTAACCTACTGTATGCAACATCATGGAAACTGGAAAAGTAGCACATTCACAGCACCAAGGGAGTAGATTTGCATTTGAAATCAGCTAAACTGTTCTTTTTTTGGTCTTTATCGTACACTGACCTCACTGAGAAGGTTACAGAGAAGACAATCTTCCTGAAAACATCAGTAAAATACACAGTGTACGTCGTCTTTTATTGTGTCTGTATACATTGATTTTTTTAGTGTAGCACCCTGAAAGCACTCGAGAGGCTTTAGTGAAGTCTATACTTAGCGTTGTCATTGTGCGTTTTCTCTCGGGTGTTGTTATTTTTGTTGGGCAGCGGTTGGATTGTGCTGCAGAGGAATCCCATTCATTGTGGGATTCCTCTGCAGCAGTTGCCAGTGCATTGTGCTGAAGGCCTCGTGGCAGAAAGACAAGTCCAAGTGCCCAGAAATAGACGGGATGAGCTCGCCGTGGAACAGGGTCGACCTGCCGGACACGTAAACACTCCAGCTGAGCGCGTTTGTTTGGTTTTTCACTCTTTCTCACACGTTTCCTGTTGTCAGGTGCGTCATCGCTTCCTGCTTGTCGCTCTGGTGGGCGAAAAACCTGAGAAGTCACTGCTGAGCAACTCACCGCCACAATCCTCTTTCCCTCCCTGCTCGGGGTGAAGGTGACTCTCCCATGAAGCGTTTCTGACACTAAGACTTTCAGAAGGATTTGAATATTGTTTACGAGTATGTGGCTGCTGCACATCCATCACTTGGAAGTTTGTTTATTAAACCCAACCAGACTTCAGTTAAACCGTCTTTTCTACACTCGCAGGCAGATGTGTTTGTTTTCTGGCTTTCACGTTGGGTGGGAGGTGCATGTCTGGTGACTCTAGGTGGAGTTGCTCTTGTTTTCTTTACTATTCGGGGGTCAACGTCCGCTGGGACCAAGGCCAAAGTGATACGACGAGCCAGCCAGCGTCACAGAATACACAAACACGAACCCACTTTGTTCACGTCCTTCAGTTTTTGGACGGTCAGAGTGCTGCATCTTCCTGTGTTTTTCCTTTTTTTTTTTTACTTTAGGTAATGTTTGAGGACGTTTTCTTGGAAGACAAACGTATAAATAATCTTTCCTCTTCCCTCCCCTCCTTGCAAACCCATTTCCTCACGTGCTGCTGTTTGCTATCTGTTCAGTCATTCAGCAACTCGTTGGCAATTAAAATTCTCCCAGTCATGGCCTGTCTCTGTAATTAAGGGTAAGTCAGCTGTGGTGGAGTGTTGGTCATCTCTTCCTCTCAGCTCCTTTGCATTTCTGCGTATAAACATATGCACCGTCCTTTTATCTTTCTGTTCATTTAGCCTCTTGCAAACATATTACTCCCACTGGAACGCGCTCTCAGACATCATAGGCCGTATCATTACCCACTAATACGGCGGTTGGAAAGCCAATTGTAGAAGCAGCCGGACTCATAACGGCGCGGCGGTCAGCATAGTTCTGTGATAATCAAAACCGAGCTAAAGTTTCCATTGCGGAATAGAAATATCATTCCTGGGTCTGACGCTGTGGTCGGAGCTTTTTGGAGACATCAGCTGTTTGTGTAACGGCAGAACAGGACACGAGTGGAAAGCAGAAAGACGGAAAGTTGGAAGCGCGAGAGGCCGAGGGATGTTTTTGCTTCCTCTATGAAGCCGTTTCAACCTCACGGGACGCACACGGAGATCCGAGGATTTGCGGCGTATTGATCAGTTCACACCTTGGACAGCTGCTGTTTGCACACGTTTTAATCCCGCCTGGCTTTTTTTTTTTTTTTTAGCTGCCTGAGCCTTTTCAACGAGGAAATAAATGACAATAGCTGCTGTTGTAGAAGTGGCAGTTATCCAGTCTGTCAATATTTGCATGCAGATAGCTCCTGTCATGTGGTGAAGATAGAGGCTAACGTTCACATTTACATGATGATCTCTGCAGTGACTCATGTAGCAGCTCTTTCTTTAACAGCGTTTATGCCTAATGGGTCCAGTTGGTTTTAAAAAAAAAAAAGAGGCTGAATAATGACCAGATCTGGCCTCCTGACAGGAGTCTCCTCCCCCTTTGTGTTTATGGGATTTGTCCACTGCAGTAATCACGTTTTAGATGTGTGTCACCAGCAGGGATGGAGCCTTTAAATTACATTCTGTTGTAGAAAAAGCATAAAGGAGGCCAGAGCAGTATTCATACAGGCTTTATACCATCGCAGATTAAATCAGAACTTTTTCCTCAAGGTATTTCCGTGTGGCCAAAAGACAAAGTCCAGCCAAAGGTTGGCTGTTCTTAAAGAAATTGGTCTTTTCTCGGACATGAAAAGGCTCTAAATCTGGACTGGAGGATGTGTTTTTTCCACCGGAGGCCCCTGTGAGGGTAATGACAAGGCCATAGCATACTAAACCTGAGGTTTCTGTGACCAGACGTTTGTCTTCACCGGTTCTGGGAAAGTCTTTTCTTTAGGATGAGCTTTTGTATACCATTTCTATAATTACCCATAGCTTAGTGAGGGGTGAGACAAAAAGATTTCTTGTGACATGTTCTTCTGGAGAAACTTTCAAGATAAGTGTGAGAATATTCAAGAGAGTCCCATTCTCTTTATCGGGAAATCAGCAAAGAAGGATGAATATTTCTTTAAAAAAAAAGATTCTGAGGCTGTAAGTTACTTGATAATGTTTTTGTGTAACCGGATATTCTTGAGGTTAATGACGGTCGACAGTCTTTACTGTAATTCAGTCAGTTACTGTAATGTGGTGCCGACGTCGACTCCATCAGGTGGAGCAGCACGGTTGGACTTTGTGCTGCGTTTGTTGTTGTGTGCAGAAGGTGAACTCTGCTGACTTTACACATAAAGGTGCGTTTACAGAAGGGATTGACTGATATGCTTTACAATGGCCAAGACTGATATGGATTACTGGTAATCAGCAACGACCGGTAATCGATATTTGGAACGGATGTGCATTGGATTGCATATATTGATAGCTTGTGGTAGCATGAAGCCCGTCATTCATAGCAACTAACTGAATTAATCAGGATTACTTTCACTGAATGTGTACAGTAAAAACAGGAGTGACGATGTGACGCTACGACACTCTGCTCTGTTTACTGTTAGTGAGCGACTGATTGAGATCGATCAGTTTGTTCTGTTTTGATCATGTTTTGCTGTTCTGTCACTTTTATTTCCCACAAGGAACCAAATATGAAAGCATTAGTAGTTGTTGTTTCAGGATGATCGAGGCTGCCCCCTAACTTAGCCGTTAGCGTGTAAAGCTAATGTCCTGATTAGTGCTGAGCTTCTCGTTCAGGTTTTGTCTGACAGTAAGAGCAGATTTATCCTGCATCAGAGCCAAAGTTGCACATTTATCAGTCAATAAAAACAAGCGCTAATAGGAAAATGACAAATATCGGCCTCGATTAATCAGCCGGGTAAGAACCTGTCAATCCCAGGTTTACAGTGTGTTGTGAAGCTGCAGTGAAGTTTGACGAGAAACAAGAAAAATAGTCAAACGTCACTGATTCTGCTGCAGTTGTTTTGATCTTTGCAAGCTTAGTTCTCAAGAATTTTAGGACGAATTCGTGCGTGTGTTTGTTTATTGACGTCATCATCGTCGTGTGGGTTTCGGTCTTCCTCTAACTGAAACTAACAGAACAACTCCTCCTTTCTTTCCCTTCAGTTAAGTTTTATTCCCACTCTTGAAGCAGTCTCGTCTTTTTCGGCTCCATCCTCCTCTAACGCACCGACTCCCTGAGGGCTCGCTGGAAGGCTTCTGGTCGCCTGATGTTTGTGAATCACTGTTTTCTGTGATGTGAATGTGTTTTAATTTAAGCCGGACTATTTTAAACTCTGCTTTGGTTTGTCACATGGTTAGGATGAAAGCAGAGTGTGTCGCTGTGTGTGTGTGTCTCTTTGGGTTTTTGCAGTACCTGAAAGCAAACGTGTCCAAGTGTAAGCTGTCACGGTTGGTTTTACTCTGTGTCTGCTCGGCTGGTCTGATGTTCGGGGATGAGAGAGAGAAAGGGAGGATCGGAGGAGGGGGAGGGATGTGGGGAAAACAGGGTCACATGTTGAGGGAGGCAGGAGAGGAAGGCGGCTATAAAAAGACTAATTAAAAATGTGTGGATAGATATGTTGCAGGAGGAGGCAGAGAAACTAACAGGGTGTGATGTAACCTCGGAGTGCAACGCTGAAAACGATAAGATGAGCGGCGGTGAGGAGTGCAGAGGTGCGTGGGGGCGGTTTGCTTTTGTTTTTCTGGGGAATTGAAGCTTGGAAGAGGAAGAAGACTCATAAAACTAACAGAAACGACACCGAAACAGTGGAGGGGAAACTTTCACCGTCCGTCTTTGTTTGTGGAAACATTAATTGCTCTAGAGTGACCACCTAAATGGTAAAATTAAAGCAGAATACGATTTTAAATAATCCTCTTTTGTTGTTCACACAGCATCCACACTTTGTGTCTACTTCTGCCCTGATGTAGACAAAGAGGAACAGTTGTGCAGGCTTTCACTGATTTTCACAGTGTTTTCGTAGCTCCCTGCTGAGCTTGATGCAAGTCAATGTAAAAAATTGCATCTGTTTTGCCCCTTGTGCTCCCCTCGCTTTCTCTCCCCCCCCCAGTTCTCCCTTTCAAAGAATTTTCATTTGAATGAAAGCCCTGCCTCAGTGTTTTGTTGTGCTCTAAAAGGGGGGAGGGGTCCAATTGGTCAGAATCCCTTTTTGAGCTGCACCAATCGGGAGCGAGCATCCCGCCTCCCGTCCCGCCCCTCGCCTCCCGGCCCGGCGTGCGATTGGCCCGCTGGGAGGAGCCAGACCCGGTATTAAAGCTTGTCCCGTCTGCTTCACTTCAGTGTTGAAGAGAGTCCCGTCTGTCAGCCGGAGAAGTGTGTGTGTGTGTGTGAGAGAGTGTGTGTGTCTATCGGTGTGTGTGGATGCTTTTTGTTTAATCAGCGACGGACTGAAAACGCACAATCTACCTTTGTCTCACCTGGACTTCCGTTTGTTTTTAACTCTCTCCAGGACCGTGGAGCTTCCCAGCTGAGTTACCGGCTTTTTGTGTCCGTTCACAGCTGGACAGACGGGCGGCCGCAAAGAGGATCATAAAGACTGTGTGGTGTCGCTGCCGGCTGATCTGCCAGCGCTGCCTTTGGGATAAAGAGCTGCCATCAGCTGTGCACTGTGGCTGACCGGTGACCCCGATCCACAGCCTGCTTCTGGGTCACCGCTGAGCTAATAGAGGTGGTCTGGCCGGGCCTGATGTGGAATTTGACCCCGACTGACCCCGTCCCACGAGTAGCCTTTCACTGAGCCCGGCCTGGGAGAAAAGGGAAAGATAAAAGAGGCGAGAGAGGCGACGGAGAAGAAAGGAGGGAGAAAGGCAGAGCAGCAGCACAGCGACCGGTAAGGAAGTTAAAGGGGGCTGTGGGGGAGAAAGGGGAGAGTACAAAAGAGCTTTTTCTTGAGCTTAGAGAGGACGTGTGGGAGAACTGAAAGGATGTTCGCTGACCAGTAAAGCCCCTTTCTGAGCCACGTCTCATCTGTCAGTTCTGCTCGCTCAGCCTGCTTCATGTCTGTGACGTTGAACATGTAAAACTCTTGCACTTTTTTTTTGCACACAATAAAATCTCTCTCCTTTGGTTCAGCTCCTCCAGGATGCCGGTGGAAACCCTGCGGCCCTCGGATGGCCGCCTGGCGGGGGTCCCCTTCACCTCCGCCATGCCCTTCAGGATACTGAACAAGGGTCCGGACTACTTCCGACGCCAGGCCGAACCGGGCGCCCGCAAGCTGAGCGCCGTGGAGCGTCTGGAGGCCGACAAGGCCAAGTACGTTAAGAGCCAGCAGGTGGCCCTCACCCGCCAGGCCCCCATCAAGCCACCAATCATCCGTAAGCCCCTGGTGCCTCCGGGGATGATGCTCCAGTGCCAGATCAGCACTCCTCCGGCCAGAAAGGTCCCCCGCTGCCCCGTTGATGTGGAGAACGGTGGAGGCAGAGAGGGGTCAGGAGAGAGACGGAGACCTGCTCTTAACTTGGATATTCTGAATAACTTAATCAATGATGTATGTGATGGACCACAGCCCTGCTCCCAGTCCTCCTCCTCCACCTCCCCCTCCTCGTCCTCTCCATCTTCAGGGGCCAAGAGCATCGGCAGCAGCCTGTCGGCTGAGCAGGAGAGGAACAACCGGATCCTCAACAACCTCAAACCACTGAACCACGGCACCACCACCTCCTCATCCACCTCCTCCTGCACTTCGTCTCCGCTCAACAACAACCTCCGGACCCCCGCAGCAGAACTCACCCGCCGTCCTCCCCCCGTCCCAGCTCGGGCCCCCCGCATCGGCATCCCCGCTCCCTACAGCTCCCCCAACTCAGTGACGGTGCGCCGGGTGGATGTTCGGCCTCAGGCTGAGATCAGGAAGCCTCAGAGGGCTCAGCTGCTCCGGCCCAGACAGACTGCTCAGGGCCAGGTCGCCCATCCCCAGGTCCCGCCTCCACCTCCCCCTCCAGCCTCCCAGAGTCAAGCCCACCCTCAGCTCAGCACCCAGTCACAGACCTCCCCCCCAGCCTACCTGCCTCCCAGCCCCATGCTTGTTCGAGCCGGCATGATCCCGCCCGCCTCGCCCGCTTTCACCCGCATATCCAACGCCAGCTCCAAGGGTTCCGCCCGCAAGCACCCGTCCCTGCACCGCTCCAAGTCGGACCTGAGCGACCGCTACTCCCGGGCCACCGCCGACCTGGAGCGCTTCTTCAACTACTGCGGGCTGGACCCGGATGAGGTGGAGGGGATGGGCGGCGTGGAGCGCTTCACCAGGGCCAACTCGGACATCGTGTCCGTCTCCAAGCTCCGCAGCGTCAGCACGCCCAGCTCGGAGTGCGGCGACGAGGCCGACCGGATGAGGGAGGACGGAGGGGACGAGGAGGATGAGGACGGGCCCGGCAGAGCCAGCGAACGGGTCCCGTACGGCATCTCGGTCATCGAGAGGAACGCTCGAGTCATCAAGTGGCTGTACGGCATCCGTCAGGCGAGAGACACGAACAGCGCCGTCTCTAACGTTTAGACTAACGAGGACTTGGAAAAAAGCCCATTTGTTGATCTTCTGCTGCCTTACGTCACAGTTTTGGATAATCCAGTAGTTGTTTCTTCTGTTTCCTGTGAGGACTGACTTTTGTTTTGGAGATTTTCTTTAAATGTGGGCTGAAACTCAGGACTGTTTCCCTGCCAGAGATAAAGGACGATGCGTCTCCCGTCTGCTTCATTTGATCCCGTGTGACAATACTGGTATGCAAAAGCAATAATAGACTGGTGTGAATGGTGGTGTGCATGAAGGCGGAGGATGACCGCAGTTGTGGTTCCTCATGTAAAGGTACAGTGTGTGTGTGTGTGTGTGTGTGTGTGTGTGTGTGTGTGTTGTCAGCACAAAGCCAGACTGGAAGTCGGCTTCAAACTGCCAGAAAGCTGCACGGCAAAGTGACGGTTGAGCAAACCAGGAAGAGAACCACGTTGATACTGTGAAACCTTCTCACGTTTAAAAAAAAAAAAAAAAAGTTTCCATGAACACATTCATATTTTTTAAAGAAAAAAAAAGAGAAAAATCTTTTGGCTGTAAGACTGTTATTACACAAGTTTCTGTCAGCATGCAGAGTTTGTATATTATTTCGAGGTTCGTCATCTCAATCAAGCACACATGTTATCCTCTCACACACTCGCACCGCACAGACGTACATTCAGGTCGATTACAGTTAGTGCTGTTTGTGTATCAGGCTGTAATATTGTCTAGTCGTGTGCGTTCGAATCTGGTCTCATGTCTTTGGGTTACGCTGCACTGGTGCAGCCAGAAAAATCAGTTTACTTTGTATGTCTTGGCACGGATGAGAGAGCAAGTCATATGATGAAGGACGGAGTGGATGGTTGAAGTAAGTGTGAAGTTGTTTAGCCTCTTGGACGGATGGAGAAATCAAAGGGTGGTTAACAGGACGACTGAAAAGAGTATACTCACGGATTAAAACAAGGTATCTGTGGTGTATAGATATGGCTGCGGCTCTGAAAGTGTCTCAGGAAGATGGCATACTGACAAAAATGGACCAATATTTATTTGGAAAAATGTAACTTAATGTATTTTTTAATATCGGACAAGTTTGTGTACAGAATTTTGCTCTTAAGTGCAATCTGATCGTATTTACTATAATTACAATATATGTAGGATCACGTTTTAAACACACACATGCAAATACAGGCACCGGACACATGCTAAGTGTGAATGTTGTAAACAGGGGAACGCTGCGTGTCGCCCCGCAGTGAGACTGTTGCGTATTTATTTGGATTCCTGTTGGTCGCAGCGGGAACAACAGTGTGAGTTCTCCCACCCTCTGCATCTCCTCCCCCTTTTTTAAAAACTTTGTGATGTTCAGTACGGTCAGGTTCAGAGGGCCGGAGAACCCGACGGCAGCGAACTCAAATGTGCTGTTGAATCCGGCACCGGATGCCCAAAGAGTCTTGAAGTGAGAGATCCAAAATGCTTTACCATGGTGTATTCTGAACAGCTAATAATAAAAAAAAAATGTTCAAGTACCTTCCTGTTTGCTGTTTTTCTTAGTTTTCTGACAGATCCTTCTGGTTCCTGCAAACTCGTCCCATTTCTTCAGTGTTCGGGGAGTTTATGAAACGCTGCTGCCAAGTCCTTGGTTTCTAATCTGTAATCTGGCGCAGAAGCAGGTGTTCGGACCCTCAAATCTCATTCCAGCATCAATAATTGAGTCGCAGCACTCCGACCGCTGCATGGATTTTGTTTACTTTGATCGCGTTCCTCTGAAAGTCTGACAGATGCATTATTCAGACGGCAAAATGTGGACAAACCCCCCTCGCTCTGCTTTTGGAAGCCGCTCACACGAGTCGTATCATGACAGCGTGTCTGCTGTCGGACCACCTTCTCCTCTGAACCACACCCGGTTTTAGGGCTCTGGACCCTCTTTAAGAGCTCCATAAAACACAGTGTTGGAGGGCAGACAGTGGAAAATGAGCGGGTATGAAAGGGCTGCTTATTCTACCGAGGCTGTAACGTGTGAATTCAGAAAAGAAGTTGAAGCAAGAACAGACAAAAAGCCTCAACTCAACTGCAAATCTGGGTCTTTGAGGTTTGAAAGTTGGCTGAAAAGTTTGTAGCTCATAAAAGAGGATGCAGTCGGTATACGGTTTCATTTGGCACCACAATAAAAGGATTTTCGCCACATTAGCTGGTGGTGCCAATAAAGAATTGCTTTAAAAAAAGGATGTAGCTGCAATCAGACTTCAACCAGGACGGAAACATGACATTTCTGTTTGGAGCTGAAGTTTTGGTCGACTTGTGTCTCCATTTGCACTAAAAACTTTCCTTTTGCAATATTGGAAGATGTTTATTTTGGGAGTTTTTGCTGTTTATAATAATTAAAATTGAAAATGTGCATTAAAATGTGGACGGAGACGCATTTAAATTGGTGCAAGATTGCATTTTTGTTTCAGACCAAATAGCTTTCATCAGTGAAATGAACAGAAAAGCTCGTTCTTTTTATATTATGCACTAAAATAGCACAAAGTAGTACTGTTTTATCATAAACTGGTAGCAACTGATGACACGGGTCCTTCAGAAGACAACAGTTTTGTTAGAATTTAGCATTTTATTGGCGAGTTGATAGCATGGGGCTGTTGAGGCTACTCATGCTAAAAATGTCTGAATCCAAAATATAAGTTAAGGCAAAACGTTAAATTTAGCTGAAAATATGTGTTTAAGAGTTTGAAAGTTTGCAGCTTAACAAAACGGACGTACGGTTTCATTGGCAGAGAAGCAGATTATATTGCATGCAGGCTTTGAGTTGCTTCTTTGAGTCACTATTTCTGATTAAAGCTGCTTCTTTCCACCAAAGATCAAGCTGCATATTTTCTTTCAAAGCCAAAATGTCTCCTCAAACATGCAGGTGGGGAGAGTTTGATGCTCGAAAGTTCTGCAGTTTGCAGAAATGGTCCTAAAAATAGCCACTGTTTACTTCCATATGAGCAGCTGATCCTGCATTTCCCATCATGCACAGCAGCATTATTAGACCTTGATTTAAAAACCGTCAACAACGCAGCCTTTTTGTTTTTAAAGTTGTGGGTTCAAGCCCAAGGAAAACCCAAGAGTAGAACTGGAAGGAATCGCTGTAACGTACCTTCATGTTGAGTTTCAGCTCCAGATTATTCGACCATCTTTGGTATTCTGGAAAGTTTCTCTTCCTCTGCTTGTTTTTCCTTCACCGACAGGCTCCTGGGATCAAACATCTCCCCCGATGAAGACTTCTGACTTTATGGAGCTTCTTCACTCAGCTGGACGGCGCTTCGTGCCTCCATCAGGCAGAAATCAGAGTCTCTTCACATCCTGACATCATTTTTGATTTACTGCTCACTATGTACTGGTTTTGAGGATGTGGGTGGCTCGAGGAGCGCTGGAGTGCAGCTCGCTGTAGCGAATGATAAATATTGCCGCCTGAGGCCGGGCATCATGACAGCAGCCGCCTGATGTCCCAGCAGCTCTGATTAACAGCCAGCAGCACCGAGGCGGGAGGAGATCCAACAGATCGACACATCACAACAGTTTACAGGCTCAGGAGTGGAACAGGACCGGAGAGGACGATGGTGGACGGAGCTGGGAAGAGGAAACGACAGAAAAGCCAAAGAGAAAACGATTTTATGCATATGGTATAAGGAATGTGTCAGCTTTTATTACAGGAGCAAATAACGTCGGAGCAGCTGTGCATCTCTGAGGCTTTCATGTCCGCTAAGTGAGACGAGCAGCTCAGCAGGACGAACCGGCTCTTTAATGTGCACCGAAATTAAATCAGGAGGCAGTTTTTCTTCCTGCTGAAGAGTCAGAAAATGTAAACGCAGAGCGAAAATAGCCGTGAAACTGGTTTCACTGACCTGTTTTCACAAATGATTTAAAGTCTGGCGTGTTCCCACAATGTGTCAGCTTTTCATAAGACCACAAAGATGCTTCATTTCATTACGACTCCTGGTTTTAGTTCTGTTCTGAACAGACTGTTTCAGTGTCTGCAGCTTTAGATGTAGCTGAGCTGCTGCTGGCCCCGCCCCCTTTAGGAAGAAGACCCACCATAAGTGGTTGACAATGCAGAGCAGCTGACTGCAGCTGATTACATGAGACCAGGACTTTCTATTCTAACTTCCTCTCTGGGCATCATTTTGCACAGCACAGATGTTGTTTTCAGCTTGTGTTCGGTGAGTTTGTCAGACAGTGTTGTGGTTATAAAATCAGTTTTTCAGCAGTCGAGCAGCTTGGAAATATCTCTGAAGCAACTGAAGGTTCACATGTACTTCAAAAAGTTCTGCTTCAAACATGTGAGTTTTTGTGAATAGCAATGGCCCAAAATGGGACTTAGACCTCTTGTTTCTGGGTGAGAACTTTCTGAAGTAACCTCGTTGTCTTAATGAGCTGCGTTTCAGTCACGAGTTCATTCTTGTCCCGCCGTCCAACAGCAAAAACGGAAAGCCTGTGTGTTTGTTGGGACTTTAGCTGTATTAAAATGCAGTTTATGTGAGCACAGGGAACAGGAGAGAAGTAAACGGATGGAATCAGCAGAGTTTAGGTTCACCTGAAGCACAACACAAACACAGGAACCCGTCCATTGGGTGCTGGTTATCAGGAAGCTTCCACCATCTCCAAATGTCCCTCAGCAGATCATCACAGCAAATGGTAACGCTAGCTACATTAGCTACAAAACATGCTAACACTGAATGTATTGTAATCTGCTTTGTGATCATCAGATGCTGGGGATGCATGAAGACTCTTGTGTTCACTCTTGCAGCCAACAGAAGAAGATTCGGTGAGTTTTGCTTGTGGTTCAGACAGAGTTAGCAGACTTAGCTCTAGAAGGTAAATAAAGCTGTTGGACTGGGAGGCAGCTGCTCATTCTGAATGGTTCACACAAGAGGCAGTGACGGGGCAGAACTACCTAAACTTAGAAGACTATTGGTTTTATAAATCTGTGAGGCTAACTAGTTGTCGGGTAGTTTGAGGAACGCCCACGAACAGCCACGAAATACAATAAAAAAATGGGTTTGCACCATATGGCACCTTTAATGCCTGTTTAATCCGCCACTTTTATGCTGTTATATAAATATTAGGAGTTGGTTTGTTGAGACAAACAGCTGCTGGTGCCATTTTTCCAACAAAACACCATTAAAGTATTACTGCAACGGAGAGTCCAACATGGTGATGTAACTAAGAGCTGCAGTCAAACCTCAAACCAGGATGGAAACATGACATTTCTGTTTGTTTCAGGGATTAATTTGTTTGGAACTGAACTTTCAGTGGACTTTTAAGTGGTTATGATTCATCGTTTGCTGAAAGTCTGTCTCCATTTGCACTCCGTTGCTTTGAGTTTACTCTCAGTGAAGCTTTAAACCTTCCTTTGCAACATTTACAGATATTTATTTTGGGAGTTTTTGCTGTTTCTTTTGATTGAAATGGAAAAGGTGCACAATAATGTGGATGGAGATGCAGCTAATCTTAATGGGGTTCCACAGATACATGCAGACCACCGAACAAAACCACGATTGCGATGCTAATGTTTTGTTCTATTGTGCATTTGAATAGCACAAAGCAGCAACAGTTTTTAACACATTGGTAGCAATCGGTGCCACATGTCCTTCAGAAAACAACAGTTTTGTTAGAATTTTGCATTTTATTGGTGAGCTGACAGGTTGCTCTTGCTAAAAATGTGTGACTCCAAAATATAATATATTCAACAGAAAATATGCGTTTTAGAGTTTGAAAATTGGCTGAACAGGACAGATATCCTTGAGAAAACAGCAGTTCTGAGTTGGCTGTGCAGGTTTAAAGGTGGACTGGAACCAGGAATGCTGCAGTTATTGGTGTCAGAATGAACAAATAGTAAGATGTCAGAATCCACTCTGGTAAAAAGTTGAGTGTTTTCCATAAAAAGGCCAACAGGGCTGAAAGGTTTTTGACAAACGTACAAAAAGAAAGACAGACATCTCAGATTCAGCTGGCAGTTTTTTGTTGCAAACATTTGCCATCACTCCTTCAGAGCTCTCTGGGTCTTACATAACTAACTAGTCTGGCACGACAATTCCCTTGTTTTCATCCCGCAACAGTGTCGTCGTTACGTAACCCAGAGTGGACACATCTGAGCGGCTCCCCGGGGGGGCGGCTGATGCAAAGAGTCAGAAAAAGGCTAAATGCTCCGGCTGTGGGGGGAGAACACATGTCCTGGGAGGATGAGATGCCTCCTCCTGCTGCGATCTCGGCGGACCGACGAGGAAAACGAGCCAAGAAGCATCTCTGTTCCGTCATCGTCTCTCTGCGCAGGCCGACCATATGTCCATATTTACCGAGAGATCAGCTGGGCTTTGGCGTCCTGACAGCATACAAACACACACACAGTTTGTATTTGCTTTCCGTGTTGCGTGTCTTGTTCGTGTCATGAGTTGTGTTGGAGCATTTCTGTGGTGCTTAAACACTGAGGATGTTCCCAATCTTTTCGGGTTGGGTGTTTGTTTTGTTTCCTCATGTTTGTGTGTTG